TTATGTTCTCCAGAATAAATACTATCCGTAGCTGAAGTATATCGTCTCGCTGTCACTTTATCCCGTAACTGCATAGTGTGTATACACTACCAGGCTCGTTAAGTTTCCTATCCTGTTTTCAATTGTAATATACACGACAAAGGATTTGCACAGCAGGTAGCCGATCAAGAAGTCTATACATTTGAGTATTCTCGGCCAATCGGTAGATGATACTGAAGTTGGCCACCTATTCGGATTTAGGTTTCAGATTCATTTTCAGATTCAGTGAATGACGGTATTACCTTATTGTTATTTTCATAATAGCACTTTCTTTTCGCACCCCTGTTTGCATAATTAAAAACTCTCTCAACCAATCGAAACAGCGTATTCAGACGATTGAAATGCTAGTATAAGATGATTATAATAGCTCTTTCCTGACATCACATGTACTAAACCCACCAATAATAGCTCTTTCCTGACATCACATGTACTAAACCCACCAATAGTAGCTCTTTCCTGACATCACATGTACTAAACCCACCAATAATAGCTCTTTCCTGACATCACATGTACTAAACCCACCAATAATAGCTCTTTCCTGACATCACATGTACTAAACCCACCAATAATAGCTCTTTCCTGACATCACATTTTTTAATTCAAATGTTTTTTTGAAAGACCAAGCAGAAGGACAGACATAATGATACGAACATTTCAACCGTGTGCTTGTCACACCCGGGTCCCTGTCTATAGAAGGACCGTGTGCTTGCTTGTAGGAAATTTGACCTGTGGGTCATTTCAGTTTTTGTCCCACCCCCACTCCCCACAGATGGATATTACGGTTATGACATTCAAGTGTCAGATTTCTGTTAACTAACACAAACCTGGGAACTTTACTGATTTAACGTACTGTAAAATGACTAATTTTCACTGGGTTTAAATTTCACTGATTTACCATTTCAGGCATATTCAGTGGGTTTTTAAATTCACGGTTTTATCATTTAGATAATGTGTTCTATGCTAAATTTTACATATTCACTGGGTTTTAATTTAGCGCATTTTCCCGTCAGCGAAATAAGCAAAATTAAAAACCCAGTGAATAATTAATCCTTTTACAGTATACGGAAGGGTATGTGAAAAAATTAAAATATATCAAAAATATGACAACTCTCGGAATTAAACCATCCATAGATTCTTTTTGTAGAAATATGACCCCTCGGATTTAAACCATCCGTGGGG